CCACCGATGCCAAGACAGTGCTCCCTTTGAAGAAAATCTTCCATGGAAAATAATTCAATTAGCGTGTCATATTATACACTCTTTTGTTACCTTTGGCTATTCTGTTAGTTTCAATAGCTTTTGTTTAGCACTACATTATAAATTCAAATGTAACCTCAAATCAGGTCTACTCTCAACTGAAGATAGTCGTTGAACGACCGAAACATGTCTTATAAATTTAGTTTCAAATGTTTCGTTATTTTTATAAAGATTGCTGTTAGTCTGCACCTTTCCAGACCTTTTGGAAATTCAATTTATCTACTGACCTAAAGTTGGATAGCAGATCCCTAAAAAGCCTCGTATATGAAATGATAAGATTGGAACGAAAGAATAATTTTGTTTGAAAAGCAAGCAAATGTTGCTTGCTTATCTCTTAAGTGACGCCAACAAATACCCTCAGCCTCTTGCAGATCCGATGATTGCGATTATTCTTGGAATAAGAAAGATGATGCATTTTAAGCATAGTCGTTGAATGAAGAAACAGTTTATTCGTTCTACTCTCGAAAATGGGTATCGACGAAGAATCTACATTTAGACTTTAGGATTTCGCACTGGAAGGCTCTACCACTGTGATACAAGGCGCTCGATAAAAAAACCTAGCCATTTCTAAGTCATATGTGTGTAAAGCGTCCTGCGGGCTGCTAGGGTAAAAAATGTCGAAAACGTCGAGTGAGAATATAAATCTTAAAGGCCTTTTTCTTACCAATATCAGACTGTTTAATCTACCTACATTTAAAGCTTTGTTCAGGTGCGCCATCAGAACTGAACTGAGAAACAAAGGGCTTGCACAGCAATAGACACAGAACGCTGACATCAACAGAATTCCATCCTCATCCTGTGCCCGAAAGTAAATTGTTCCTAACGAGAAAGTTAAACAGCACAAACGCGCATTAACAGAAATTTGTGTCTAACATTTCATTCGATCATGATTCTGAGCCATGACTTTCATTTGTAACTTTTAAAACATCCAAAAAAACTCAGTTGTTCTTTGATCTTCATTTAACATCACTGTTTTCATGGTCTCAGACACAGATGTGGCCAGACTTATATCATTCGTGACAGGGCTGAGGCACTACTTACCTACGATTATTCCAAACAAGAAGAATATAAACGGAAAATAGAAGATTTGTCCGAGTGTTTGTCTTAGGGAAGTTCGGGCTTCCAACACAAACGTTCTGTTGAATGTTCCTGCATCGTTTACCCTGCCAAGAAAATAAAATTGATTTAATAGGTCAAGAGACTTTGAAGAAAATCATTGCAGGCTTTAAAGTGGCTCATGGCAAGAAAAACTTGTTAAGAAGAGGTTTTCTTTACACTTCAACCATGTATGATAACTTATATATGCCACTGGAAGAAAGTTACAAAATTTAGCTTTTAACGCTTTTTAAAAACTGTGAATAAAAACGTCAACGTTCGAAAGTTGTTTCCAAATGTGCTTAAGATTCGACTATGAACGCCACCATTTTTTAAAAATTCTGGTGACCTGGCTGCTGAGATATTGAATAAAACTAGCGGTAAACTTTGCTGGGTCGCAGCTTAGCGACAAGGTTACAGGTTACTAAGCAAGATTAAAAAGGGTAGCGTCTGAGACTTAAGTTTTAACACATCTCACGACAGATTTCTTAAGGTTAAACTGCTCTTTTGAATCTCGAAACGCGATCACAATCATAGTTTCATAGACAATTTAAGATGGTTTGTAAAGCCAACTTTGCTTTAAATACTTGTAAAGAAAGGCCAACTGATATGCTTTTATAAGTCGCTTTGAGCAACGTGATGGTTAGAACGTCGATTGTGTTGTGCGGGAGGTCGAGGGTTCGAGCCCTGGCCGGACCAATACTCATGGTCTTAAAATAAGTGAGGAGAATTTGCTACCTTTCTATACTCAAGAATTGGATAGATATTCTAGTCTTCTCGGATAGGGACGAATAAACCGTAGGCCCCGTCTCCTGCAGGGTTAAGGGTAGGAGACGTTAATTTCCCTCGCACGAGATTACTGTGTGGTGGATGTCCTCCCCTGGGTGGGATGGGTGGGTATTGGCCCTGAAAAGCTCCTGTGGGGAGTGGTCAATTAACCTATGTATGTATGTATGTATGTATGTATGTATGTATGTATGTATGTATGTATGTATGTATGTTTGTATGTATGTATGTATGTATGTATGTATGTATGTATGTATGTATGTATGTATGTATGTATGTATGTATGTATGTATGTATGTATGTATGT